CCCCTGGCGTGTGATAAAAGCATTGCGATACAGCGAACCTCGCGATAATATTTCCACGTTTTCGAGGAAGAAAAGCAATTGCGACCTATATATATCCGGAGGATTACGTGTCTGGCGATGTTTCTGATAAAAAATCTTTATCCTTCACGCACGATCCGGCGTCGTCCGGTGTGGGTGTAAACGAGATCAATCTCCGGAGAGATCATGGAGCACGTTATCCCAGAGTTACATCAACAACGTGGAATTCCTCATCGTCGATGATGAAAAACTGGGGTGGCTGCGGTTCCTGCTTTTTACCGTGGCCGAAGTGTTTTCGTACGGGCGGCAGTGTGTTTGCTTAAGATCGTCCACTCGGTGAAGACTCCCAAGCCTCCGATCCATCCGAGCAGAAGAGTTCATCTCTCGTCTTCCCCTCAGAAAATGCAGGCGGATAATAATCTATAATTATCTTCGGCGTGACAGAAGGAATGACGCGCCGCGCGTTCGACGCTCCGTAAATAGTTGTTAAACATGGCGACAGAACCGGATCGCGGAGTCAATCGGCACCGAAAGATTCCCAATGTGCAATCAATTGGGGAGAAGGAAATATTATTTCCATCGGAAAACGCGACTTGTCCTCGGACACTGTACTGCTCCGCTGTACATTCCGCATTATCAAGAAAATTATCCTCGGATAATGGACAAGGATCCTAGGATGAGGCTGTATCCTGATTACAGGCTATTATGAGCCGCCGTTCATCATCGTACGGGGCTTCTTCCACGGTGGAGAGCTTTGACGAAGACGTCGCCCGCTTCTTTTTTTTTCTACATCTCTTCCACGCGTTTCCTCCCGCGCCTCGTGTGTCCCGTCATGCGGGCGAGGCGGCACGTAATAATTAACGCAAACACACAATTTTTATTGTGTACTCTTCGTCCCGGCTTCCGCGAGCGGGAGAACCGGAGCAGGAAGAGAAAAGGCAACGTTGGTCGTGAATCCACATCGGCGGAAACGATGCCAGATGAATGTCCCTATTCTCACACGTACGTCAGTATAATCGCATCTTGTACCTGGATGTCCTGGAGGAACCCGAGATTAAGTTGATTACGCGAGTGGCGAAATAATGACCAATGATTCTCGAGTAAATGCCCGTGTAATTGCGAGTCTGAGGCGGCGCGGCCGCTTAGTAGAGTTAATCGGGATATATAACCGTAAGAGAAAGATATCTCTGCTGAATATCTGGCATTGCTGTCGCACGATAGACAACTGGGCCGTAAGAACCTGATCAGATTCTTGATCACAAGTTCTGGCACAAAACCCGAAAAAATTCCGGTTTGTTTTCACAAGCGAGCGAATTTTAACTGCAACCATTTTGGAGATATTTTATAATTAAATTATTAATGGGGGCATCCGGGCACGACGCGTCGTGCAATGGCCATGCCGTTGACATGTAACGAAGTTTTTGCAGCTACACGCGGCCTTGGATTGCGAGCACCTCGGCGCGAATAAGAGGGGCCCGCTACATTGTAAATTCGACCTTCCTCGAGTCACCGATGCGAGAAACGCTACTCCGAGGGAATTACGGGACAATGAACGTTTTCGAAATCTACGCATGAGTCCTACATGTCGTGCTGGAGATGATTTCGCCACCTCCGATTATCATCTCCGAGACGCGAGCAATTTATTTCCTCTAAAAAAAAAGTTAGGTACAATAGTCAATTGAAAAATGAGAAATGGTTCAGATATTACAATTAAAAATATCCAACGTTTGTAACGAGGATCAGAAGTGATTGACAATAAAGAATTTCAACGCGGTACGCGACGAACAGTCGATATTTCATGAAAACTTGTTGAAGCCGGGGTAATGAAATGTATAGCTTATCGAATCGTCCAACAACGGATCGGAATCACAAAGAAACGGGAAACGCGGCGCCCACCGCGCCGGATATTGCAAGGGGCCAGGACAGGTCCGGGACTAAAAGCGTAACGAAACACTCGATCTTGTACAGTACACGTGGTTCATTATCTTAATGCGCTATTCGGTCAATTTGACGATTTAACTTCTATAAATATCGAAAATTCAAAGATTGAGAAACGTAGAAAGGGTTGAAAGTAAAATAGATTCGAAACGGGAGAGAAGCAAGCGATGGCGCCCCTCTCTCTCTTTCTCACGTGTCTAGTGTTGCAATGTTAATTGCGAAAAATATGGAATTCATGTGTCGGTAATTGATCCAAGGCCCTCGGCAAACGCACCGCTTAGTCGCGAGCGGACAATAAAAAACACTCCGCGTAGACCGGCAGCGAGCTCGATTAAGTGGATCCACCATGGCTACCGCAGCTCGTTTAGTTTTTCACCGCGCATTGTGAGTACGGTTGCAATATGTGTGACACCATGGTATGCGGGGTTCTCACAGAGAATCCTCGGTTCCAGCAACAAAAACTGCGGTACATATGTATCTTGCGCTCCGAAGACGGGGGACCCTCCCCTCTGTCCCTGCCTTTTATTATTTCCCACAATAAATAGAAGATACTTCTTGTCCCGATAAAGGCACTTCCAGAATTTGTAGCGCCACGAATATCTCATACTTAAAAGTTCAATCCCGAACGATCACGATCGTACAAAGTATTGTGTTCGACGTCGTCTGCGTGGATACTTGTTAGACTAAATACAGTTATTGCGATTATAATTGGAATGCTAATTAAATATCTACACTTCGTACGCCATTAAAAAAGTATTTATAATCGTATACAGAGGCGCACACCACACGGTATCTCGGACGGGCTAACGGAAGCGGCTGTACACTCTGCGACGACCTTTGCAACCCGCGTGCGAAACGGGTCAGACAGGCGTAAATACAATGAAAAGTCTTCGCCACACAGGCCTCGAAAAGAATCGCGCGTGTAATATCTAGAGCTCGAGTGGAAACGAGGATAGCGACGTTTGCGCGAGTACAGTAAAAAATTTTTTCACGCGCCGACCTTGATTATAATCAGGTGTAAAATTGCAGAAATGTTTTAATCGCCTCAGAAAATTCCTGCTTTGCCGCTCGCGACCGCGGCCGCATTATTTTGTTCCCGTGGAAAACGTTCGCGAGAGACCGCTCTCTTCCAGACAGTTCTGTCGCCGTGAGTTACTACAAAAATCATTATTTGGCCGTGAAAAAGAAATAGATTTAAAAGAATGCAATAATTTTGTTAAGAGTATTTCTTGGACGAAAAAGAAGATTTCGGATGTCAGCAACGTTCGCGAGAGACCGCTCTCTTCCAGACAGTTCTGTCGCCGTGAGTTACTACAAAAATCATTATTTGGCCGTGAAAAAGAAATAGATTTAAAAGAATGCAATAATTTTGTTAAGAGTATTTCTTGGACGAAAAAGAAGGCTAGATTTCGGATGTCAGCATGTGTTCAGCGGTCTGTGCAGATGGCAAAGAAAAATATACCCTGCCTAAACGTCCCTTCCCGAGAGATGAAGTCTCTCTCGAGAGAGAGTCATGTTTCTGTTCGCGCAAAAAGGGACGCGAAACCGCACGACGTATCGCAGTTACATTACAGCACGGACTTCAGAAGCCGTGAGAAATAATTCGGCTGTCATTGAAACAGATCCCGACCGCAAGAGTCACAAATGTTCCGAATATTCAACTTTATAGCGCAACTATTATTTTAACATTAACCGTTTGAGTTATTGGAGAGTCGCTACAGTCAATATTTAATAATATTAATCGTTAGAGACTAAATCTCTCTTATGTTGTATAAATAAAACTATTCGTTAATATTTAATATTTCGTAATATTAGAAGCACTTTATCGCTGATACCGTGGATCATATATTTTAGACAGACCAAGCCTCAATGTAGTCTAGGCATAGAATTCCATACCTCGGAATCTAAAAATAAAATAATTTTTTCCGAAAAAAAATTTTTTTTTATATCATTTACAAAAGTGTTTTAAATTCGCGGTGTTCAAATGAGCGATTAAAAACATACTTGCGTTCTACAATGCTTCGGAAAAGGTTGAATGATTCTAGTATTATCAATATATACCGCGATATGATCGAAGAAATATTTTTATTAGCGGGCGTAACTTAAAAAAACAAACATTTGCCATCGCTTGTAAGAAACAAATTATAGTTATTTCTAGTTTACGTTGGTTTAACTTTACCTTTCGCTTCCAACCTTTTGGTTAACTCAATGGTTAAATCATACGTCTTTGTTTTCCCTTCAAATTGGACAAAGCTAGACATATAATTCAACTATTAATTAGCTTGCCGAGAGGTTGGAAAAGCTGGCCCTTATTTACTTTATTTTCAACTCACTCGCCTCCCCCGTCACCAGGGCTGACCAGGGCTGAGGAAAAACCGTAATGACGTCCCTGTTTAATCCATCACTTGATAATTACGTTCAAGACGAAGGCACGACACTTTGTGTATTACAGGACGGGAATAATCATGGATTAAATATAACAAATCCATCAGGCGCCGTCATGCAGATACACACGTGGGCCAGCTGTTAATAAGTACCCAGAAAACATATTGCTCTCATTTTCTCGCTAAACCGCTTTACGTCACTTAGCAGACCGCCCGCGAATGCCGTTTTGTTCTCCTCGTTTGCTTTATTGGACGCAACATGACTGCTTTTTGCACTCTCCCGCGTTGTTCTTAATCGTCTCCTACAGGCGACATGAAACCGCGCGCGTCGCGCGTTGTGCTGTAATAACAGCCCTATCGTGTCTTCATTCATATTATACGTCGGTTGAATTATTGCGTTCGCCGTCAAACGAAAATTATTCCAGCATAATCTTCACGTACTTATCGAATAATTTTCCCTCGCAGGCAATTTGTTACGATGCAAAATAAATGGCAAAACTTCGTCAAGAACGTTCGCCGGGGAGCGAGCTTAGTCGTGAACGATATGGGGTCTCGCGGAATCCCCGGTTTCCGTTTCCGGATTAACGATTCCACCGGAGGCTCCCGCCGCAAGCAGCGAGCGTTGTGAGTGTGGTGGGAAAATAATCACGGAGCACTCACCTGCTGGGGCGCGGTATCAGCCGGCGAGAAGCTCGACAGGGCGGTCAAGGGTGCAAGGGATGCGCATGAGGACGCTCTCGAGGGTGGCGGTGTGTGACCGGGGGTGGGACTTCCGCTTCCGCAGCTACTCGCGCCGCCGCTGGAAGAGAGGCTCACGCTGTCCGCCCGCCCTCTCCACGGCGAGATCGACACGTGCTTCAGCATTCCTCCTTCTTCTTATCTGGAATCAGGATCCACGGATCGTTTGCCGTTAAATCGCGAGCGTTGAACTGGGGGGGGGGGAACAGTGCAGCCAGTAGTACGACTATAACCGGCTATAAATTTCATCTGTTGCTCGATTCCGATGGATCGGCGCAATTGCGACAATCTCAATTCTCTCATTTTATCTCGAAGATGTTTCCATTCGCCTCTTTATCATATAATTATATTCAGAAAGTCGATTTACATTAAAAGATCCTCGTGGAAGATCAGCGAAGTAATAGAGGCTTTAAATCGATACGCAGCGAGCGATATAGAGAATTTGTAATATAAGCCGCAATGGATAGCGATCTCGCGATTTATCGCGCATTTAAAATGCAAGACTACTTTTAAGGGGCATTGCAAGCAAGACGAGTGAAATTGTCGTTCGAGTTTCACCCGACGTGGGCTTCCACCTCGCGTACTCTCGATAGCGTTTACTGGAAGTCGCATGGGACAGCCTACATTTCAATTAATCTCTTTGTGCGTTTCCTCTCGCAAGGTCGCAGAAAAACCGTAATTGGCGCGGCGGCCTTTCGATAAGTAGTGTCCAACTACTGTGATTGCCGGGCTGAACAAACGTGGAAAGTGGCAGGAAGCTAGCTTATGGAAAAACCGGACGCTCCCAACGGTACACTTTAAAAGCGTCCGTGTAATTTGACGTCGGAGTGAAACCAGGCGGTTGCAGTGTCCGAAACAACGTGCCCCGCACGCCTACCTCGTGAAAAGCAAGGAAAAGCCTACGCGCTCGAGTAAACGTCAAAGCCAGCCGCGGATACAGAAGCCAGAAGCCCGACTTATGCGTACACGGAGAGAACTTTCTCTCGAAATTTACCCTGAAAATCGTGTAATCGTGGAACAACACTTTATTGCTGAAATGTATGGTGAAATTTCAAAAAACTCGTTATAAAGTTTTTGAAAATGTTCCACATTGTTCCACGATTACACACATTAAATTTTCAAAGCAAATTCTCCCCGTATAGCAGACGGATGCTTTTCCGCTAGCTGCAGGATGTTGAGAGAATTTTATAAAAATAGTTCCTTTCTTTGTCTTTGTTATCGCCTTCGTTATCTGTACTATTCGCTTATCGCATTATTCATAATTCATAAAGTATAAGTGTTATTTGTATTGTCGCATCATATTATTCTATAATATATTTCCTCAAAGAATTCCCGAGAAAAAATGGAACAAATTTATTATATGTCGCGGTCGTGTGAAACTTGACTCGATTATATCTCACAAGATCTAATTCCAACGTCATCAGCTCTTCAGAGATCTGACACTTTTCTTGAATGTTCGAAATTCCATTGAGATCTAACTAAATGTCCTGTTAGGATGGCGTTAGAATTAAATCTCATGGGATACAATTAAATATTTTTTCCATTTTTCCCGGGTTTTGCATAAATTAGAAAATGAGGATTTCGTTATATTTTTTAAATACCTTAAGTTAATAAGCAATAAAAAGTTCTGCGCGTTTTTCTCAAAAAAATTTTAAACAGGAATGCACAATGCGTATTAATTGTGCGCTGCAAAAAGTTTTCCGTTTAGAATTGTAATAGGAAGCACTAGTGTTTCCTGCGATGCATCATCGACGGGCCGGTGTGTTGCAGTCACGTGCATCCGAAGGACACATCGGCGCATTATTACAGGCGCCGCGGGAGAGGCGGGAAGCACTCGTGTGCACGTTTCTGATTTTTAACGAGAGGATAAATAAAGCGGTACGTGGTGAATATCAAATGTTTCACATTACTTTCTGCGTGTCTTGCATACTCACTTTAATTAAATTCACAGTCGAGCGGGTCTGCGCACTCGCGATAGTCCGGGCGTCAATACGCGCCAAACATTCAGAATTGACGAATGCGCGGCATTGAAGTCACCCGGTTTCACCGTCCTAAACCAGACGGCAGTCGATAACGCGGTGGTCACAACACACCAAGCGGATTCACCACCGGTCACAATCGCGCTGCGTTCGACGGAATGCACGAGCGGAGACTTTCGGCGCGCATTTCGGCATATAGTTTCACGAGAACGAATCGCTTCGCGCCCGTCACGAAGCGTTCCCGAGTCGTTGTTCAACGAGACATAACGAACGACGAGGCGTAACGAGAGTCCGTTTTCTCGAGGGAAATTCGACGGAGCTCGTTGGCGAACTTGAGATATCAGAGTTCGGCAACGCGCGGCGATAGCTGCACCGCGGTGTGCGCTCCGCGAGCGTTCGGTCGCGACTGGCGAACGCGCGCGAGTAAACCGGCATAGTAAGCGTTCGCGCGCCGGCGAACGGACGAGGCAGAGGAAAGAGAACGACCTTCTTGTGTAGCGTACGCGATTGTGTTGCCCGTTCGTCCGTGTAGGCGCCGCGCCTTCGTGTGCGTGCGCCGTGGAACTGCGGGGGCGACGACGCGTCGCGACGGTACCTGCGTTTGCCAAGAAGAAGGGCGTATATCCACGGACAACCAGGCTCGAGGAGACAGACCCTATTCTCGCTTCAGGATTCTTCCCTGTGTCGTGGCGCCAGGGATATGAAACCCGGGATGCGAAGAAAGAGATTAATGAAGTTGCAAATTGAACGATCGACCGCTCGCATTGTCGGTAGAAATCGCGGGGCGAACGAGAAGTCAAGAATGCACAAAATGCACCTGCTACACCGTCCTTTTCTTTAAATGGTTTTCTGGTCAAGAGCTACTGTGGAGATATTTGAAAAGGTACCAATCCGTTCGGGAAAGGCCTCAAGAATAAGACGAACGAGGGACGATCCCTAAATCCGTTAATTTTTTATCGTCTGTTTTGCAACATGTGGTCGGGCGTTACATGGAGCAGTAATGTACCTGCACCCACAGAAAAAATTTCCGGAGCCAATGTTGTTACACTTGAGTGTATCATAAAATAGAATCGATATAGGAATATTTTAATTTTAAATGAAAAATTCTAAAATCTAGAATAAAACGATAGTACGTATCGTCTTTTGCGAAATATCGTGGTGCCAGCTTCGTGCGTTGTAAGACGGAGGGAAAGTTTATTCTAAACGCAAGAATATATAAACTTACATTTATAACACGCAGTTTTACGTACGTTATATCAATATCCTGGTAATATTTCTCGAGTTTAATGGATTCCGACTGATGTTTTCCGCCAGGTCGCACCTCGATTTTACGGAATTTCTGGCTTTTGTGCTTAAACGCTTATTCTGGACCAGAACGACCGAATCCTCGAGGCACGACCTTGCGAAAGAGATCAGTCGATACGCCTCGAATCGGAGATGAGAAATAGATCACGCCATACCATAATCTTGTATGAATAAAAGTTAAGTCACGCCCCACTTGTGCAGAAGGCGCTTGTCGTGCAGTATCCATTTTTCACCGCAGGTCACAATTCGATGTAAAAACCATTCGTTCTTATTTCAAAAGAGCAGAAAATCTTCTAACTAATCTTCATGCGACGCACGCTGTCTCGCTCACTGATTGCGGTCATTTCATTTGCGACGACCTAACATTTACAATATCTGTTGTTTACGTATAAAAATTTGTTATTACACCCTCAGAAAGGATTTCTGTTACTGAGACAAAAAGCAAAACTTGTCGCATTTATATTTCTCACAACCTCGTTTAGTATAGAAATAAAACAATACCAAAATAAAATCAATAATTCTCGTTCCTCTCTATCGAATTGAACAAAGATTGACTTACTATATTGAGACAAGAGTAACGTATATAAGTTTATACAGGGTGAGTCTTTCCATATCTGACAAAATTTTTGAGAAGGTAGAACGGATCGAGATGAACGGAAAAGTCCTGTACCATTTTGCAATTTTCGTAATAGTTAACGAGTAATTAATTATTAAAAATCGTTGTCTTAGGCCGGCCTACCGCCCAATTCGAGCGCGTGGCGAGATGTGCGCATAGCAAT